CCAGCTTACCCCTCTGACCCGTCGACGTCTACCCTTCCATTGCACCCTGACTCATGAGGATGCCTTCCGCTCTCTCAAACGGCTTGTCACGTCAGCCCCCGTTCTACACCTCCCTGACTACTCTCGTCCATTCATTGTCACCACAAACGCTTCGGAATTTGCTATTGGAGTTGTCCTATCTCAGATCTACTCAGCCCCTTCTACTCCACCCGATTTCACAGAATCTCGACTCCCACGCATTCCCCGATTCCCTCCTCCACCTCCAGCGACTGCGGCTCACCTCGCACCCATTGAGCCTACTCCTTCAGGAGGCCCCCCACCATATATTCCTGACGTCGCCAATGACGGTACAGTCGAGTCTCGCGATGGAGAGTGTCCGGTTGCTTCTCTCTCTCAACAGCTACTTCCCGCAGAGTGTAACTATACTACTGACGAGCGTGAGGTTCTCGCGCTGGTTTACGATGTTAAGAAATGGCGTCATCATCTACACGGTCATACCTTCACCGTGCTTATAGATAACTCTGTCCTCGCCGCCTTTCAGACGCAGCCTAAACTCACTTCTCGTCAGGCTTGTTGGTGGCGTGATCTTTCCGAGTTCGACTTCAGGATCAGGAAAATCTCCAGCGAGAGCAACTATGTCGCAGATGCCCTATCCCGTCACCCTGACCTCAAGTGCGATGATTGGAAGCGCTCTGCTCTTTTTGTCTCTACTCCTATTATCCATTATGCTTTCCTAGATGAGTATCGTCATGCTTACCCCCAGTGTTATGAGTTTGAGTCCATCTACACTGACTTACAGGCTGGCAAGACCGTCCCTAACTTCCAGCTCGACCCCTCTGGACTCTTGTATTGGCTTGGACTCAATCATCCTCGTACTCCTCGTTCATGTGTGGCTTCTACCGGCTAGCTCCGCGTTCGAGCAGTCGTTGAGAGTCATGATCAGCGTGTCGCCGGTCATTTCGGTGTCTACAAGACTCTTGACCGCCTCTACCGCCATTACTATTGGAGGCACCGTCGCACCTTCGTTAAGGAGTATGTCCGCACGTGCAAGATCTGCCAAGAGGCCAATATTACCAATCATCCCCCCTACGGTCTTCTTCAACCCTTACCCATTCCTACTCAGCGTTGGACATCTGTCTCTGTGGATTTCATCGGTCCTCTTCGTCCCCCTACCCCACGAGGCCACGACGCCATCTTTGTTGTTGTCTGTCGGCTGACTAAGCATGCTCACTTCCTCCCTTGCAAGTGTGCTAGCTCAGCTAAAAACATCGCCTTACTCTATTTCAACCGCATCGCCATTCATCACAGTCTTCCTACTAGTATTGTCTCTGACCGTGACCCCCGCTTCACTTCCCACTTCTGGCATGGACTCCACGAGATCTATGGCTTTGAGCTTCGCTTCTCCTCTTCTTACCATCCCCACTCAGACGGACAAACCGAGGTCACCAACAAAACTTTTGGGAATATTCTTAAGAAGTTTATTGAGAATGACTCTGATTGGGACCTCTATCTCGCCCATGCCGAGATTGCTTATAACCATGCTATTTCACCAGCTACGGGCATGTCTCCTTACTACTGTGACTTGGGATATCACCCTCGTGTCCCATCTGATCTCCTTCGTCCATCTCAAATCCATCCTGACACTAAATGCCCCGCCCTTGATGACTGGGTTAAGGAGATGGATGAGATTCTCAGCAATGCTCGCAAGAGCATTGCTGACTCCCAGACTCGCATGGCTACTCGCGCCAACCATTCCCGCATCGATCACCCCTTCAAAGTTGGCGACGAAGTCCTTGTCGACGCACGTCACTTCCAGCCCGAGGCCGACACGCTTCGAAAATTCTGACGTCAATACATCGGTCCATGCAGTATTCTTTCACCCGCTGGACCTAATCATGCTTGTCCGGTGAGCTTCAAATTAAAGCTCCCCGATTCCATGTATCGCGCTAACCTACATGATGTGTTTCATGTATCTCTACTGCGCCCCTTCAGACGGTCTCCCCCTGAGTTCCACGGTCGACCTTACCCTCGCCCCTCTCCCATCATCATTGAGGGTCACGAGGAGTTTGTCGTCTTTGATATCGCGTCCCGACGTATGACTGATGGTGACCCTCCCCGCCTCGAGTATCTTGTTCGATGGAAGGGTTACCCTGACAAGGAGTCTACTTGGGAGCCTCTCGAGCACCTGAAGCATGCCACGACTTTCGTGCGTGCTTACGATTGTGCTCATCCTTTTCCTTCATCATCCTCCCTTCCTACTTCTCGTCCTTCTATTAACCCATCTACTTCAGCGACCACTAACATACCCCTTCCTCCATCGATGGGTCCTCCATCTCCACCAGCACCTGCCTCACGTCCCCCTTCCCCTATGGATGTGGTTCCGCCTGTTGTTGCAGTTGATTCCTCTCGACCCCAGCATACCCATCGACTTCCTTCTCGCTATCGTGACTAACTTATACCCCCTATACGCTCTCTGTCTTTTACCATTCTCGGATACTTATGCAGCAGCTCCTGGTTTCGACTTCTACATTTGGCTTCTACATTTGGCTTCTACATTCGACTTTCGACCTCAGTGCTTCTCTTTAGTACCAGAGTACCCGTCGCAGTGTTCCTGACTTCTACTTGGTTTCTACGCTACTCCTACTTCATCTTGGCTACTTCAGCTCGACTTCAATCTGGATACTCATCAATTGGACTACTTCACTTTTTCGGCCATGGAGTTTCCATCATTCCCATCTATCGACCATCCTCGAGTCTACCCTCTAGTCGCATGATGACCCCTGTTTTCCCTGACCATGTGAGTGTGCTCCTCTGCCGCCCTTCTGCCTTACCCTATGCTGCGCGCCCTCCTCCGGAGTGTACGTTTTTCTTTGCTTGCAGCCCTTGGCCATATGTCTATGCCAGCATAGTCCCCCCTATCCTTCCAGGCTCGCTCGTGTGCTCCCTTATGTGAGTGCCCTTCTTCCTTTCAACGCTACTCCTACTTCATCTTGGCTACTTCGGCTCGACTTCAGTCTGGAGACTCATCAGTTCGACTTCTTTACTTTTTCGGCCATGGAGTTTCCATCATTCCCATCTATTGACCATCCTCGAGTTTACCCTCCAGTCGCATGATGACCCCTGTTTTCCCTGACCATGTGAGTGTGTTCCTTTGCCGCCCTTCTGCCTTACCCTATGCTGTGCGCCTCCTTCAGAAAGTACGTTTTTTCTTTGCTCGCAGCCCTTGGCCATATGTCTATGCCGGCATAGCCCCCCTTATACTTCCAGGCTCGCTCGTGTGCTCCCTTATGTGAGTGCCCTTTTTCCTTTCAGCTGGTGGTGCCCGTTTGATGGTTCCCATTGAGCCTGGTGTCGTGTTGTTATTCTCCCTCTGAGCCTGATGATGTTTCATATGGTTGTGTGGTTACCCCCTTGAAGTTTACTCTGAGAGCTATACTTGCCGCCTCCCACCCTTCCCTACCTTTCCCATACGACTGAGCTCCTTCTCTTCTATTCGGCTATTGTGTACTTGTATAGGGCACGTGAGACTGAGTCACATTCTTTTTCGGTGTGGATATTGATGTTGTTACTTTTCGCCTTTAGGGCTCAGGTGTTGACTTGTGCTCAACCACATTGGCTTAGGAGACATTTTTCTCTTTCTCGGTTGACACAGGTCAGACATTTCTCTCTTTCTTGGCCGACACACGTCAGACATTTTTCTGCTTTTTAGGTCGATTCAGACCAGACATTGTTGTATAGATTAGGCTTGCGGCTTAGTCTGCATTGCAACTCAGAGCTTACTCCGCATTTAGGATTGTTTCTTTGCCGCTCCTCTGGGTTTCCGTTATTTCAGCGGATAGCGTGTTGATGTATCACTTGATCCATTTACAGGTCCGAGGATCATGTAGCGGTACCCTTCGGCCCAGCAGTGAGGCCGGACCTGTTTCAGGCCGCCGGACCTGTTTCAGGCCGCCGGCCTGACCCCGGTCCGGTACTGGGTTACTCCGGCCTGGACCAAGGCCAGTATATCTCTCCGGCCTAGACCCAGGCTGGGTTGGTCACTCTTTCACTTGTTCGTTCATTCATTGATGCGGACTGGACCTTCACTCAGCTGCTGCTTCTCGTGTGTGTCCATCTCCTTCCTCTCTCTCTCTCTCTCACCATCTCCGCCGCACGTGCCCTCCTGCACGTGCGTCGCAACAACAATCGAATGGACATGAGACCACCTGGAAGCCCACAGCGGTCTCAGTGCTTTCTTTAAGTTTACTTACGACTTATTTATTATTTATTTACAGCGGCCCTAGGGCTGATTATCATGTCACGTGGTACGCTCCGAATAGCAGCAGGTGTTTACGGTAGAGCACGCGCCTGTCCCAACCAGATTTACACTTGCAGGCAGGTTATAAATCCACCGAACATTTGCTCGCACGATGGCTGTGGGCTTCAGTCACACCCACCCAACTTCTTCGTGTGCGCCAGGCAAAGTTTCAAAAACTCATCTCATCCATTTTTTTATTTTTTATTTTTTATTTTTTCTGGCAAATCAAACAGAGAGGCACAACGACGCTGACAGCAACAATCATCACAACTACCCCTTCTACTAGCGAAGTAGCCAGTGCTTTATTATCCACTCCTCGTCTTTGACCGGTGTGATGATCTGTATACCTGGTCTCCGACCAGTGCTCCATATGGCTCCACGTTTGGGCAAATTGATGCGTCAGAGTTCAAGTGCAGAGACATCCGAGCTGTTCTGCCAGAGATCACGAGCTCGATGCCATGGAACAGTGTTACAGAGATTCAATGCCAGACAAAGAGAAAGAGCATTCCAGATTGAAGGCATCCCAGTTGTTACGCTAGAGATCACCAGCTCGATTCCATGCAAGTGCTGCGGACAGATCCAACACCAGACTGATCTATGTTCTGCAATGCAGTTGAGAAGAGATCAGAAACAGAAAAAGAGAAAAAAGAAAAAGAAGAGAACTCCTGTTTGTGTTGGCACCTGCATCCATCCTCACACTGACCTGTTTGGCGATCCGTGCCATTTAGCAGAACATGCACTTTAACCCCTTTCAGACTACCTGAGTAAAGCTGGCAAGGAGACCCTGGCATAAATCTGCACTCCACAATTCAGACGCCAACCGCCATATAGCCATATGACAATTAGCTCCTCCGAGATAACCCTTGGGACAGAAAATGAGTCCAATCTGTCATCAAAACGACTTGTATATGCTTTAGACGTCGACGACATTTATACATGCTCTCCGACTCAAGATGAAGTACACGTGAGACAACACATTATCGAAAAGCCAGAGTCAGCAAGTACATGAGTGCTGCACACAGTCTGCACACTGCCCAAGTCATCGTGCCTGTCAGCAAGTACATGTGTGCTGGACACGGTCTGCACACTGTCCAAGTCATCGTGCCTACATAACCCTGGTAGACAAAGTACAGCACACTGAATTTTCAACTCTTTGCTGCGGGTCTGGACAAGGGAGACAGTGGGAGGTAACAGAGAGAGCAAGAGAACCGGAGGAAAGGACAGACAGACAATGGATGGAGGGACGGAATCACAGACGGACGGAGTGGCATCAACGGACAGAGAGATGGATGGACAGACGGAAAGAAAGCAGAGGAAAACCAAAAAAGAAAACAAAAAACGAGGGACAGATGGAGGTATAGACAGAGGAACAATCCGAGGTATGAATGGATGGATGGGACAGACAGAAAGGGGGAACAATGCAGGGACAACCACCTTCACTAGTACAGAATGCACGGTCGTTATAGCCGTCTTTGGGGCAACTTTCGGACTATTAGATACTGCGATAATGACCGGGTGTACGAGTGAAGACGGTAACCGACAGAGGGACAAATAGACATACGGAGACCAATGGACAGAGGGACAGAGGGACAAAGGGACTGCGGGACTGAGGGACAGGGAGCAACAAATGTACAGAGGGACATATGGACGGAACGAACCCACAGCGGGACAAGAGGGACTGAGATACAGGGTAGGTATACACAGAGGGAGGGATGGTCAGAGGGGCAGAACAGAGAAACGGACAGAGGAACAGAGGGACAAAGAGATGGAGGGAAGGAATGGAGGGACAGAGGTATGGACAGATGGACAAAGGAATGGATGGATGGGGAGAGACGGCGGAGAGATGGACGGAAGGATAGAGGGCTCAATGCATGGACAGAACGACAGTCAGAGGGGATGACGTCGGGATGAACACAATGCTGTGCAGAGCGAACTAACAGATTGGCCAAGGGACAGATGGATTGATGAGCGTATGGAGCGACTGACAGACAGAGAAATGGGAGTACTGAGTGACGGCTGGATAAACAGACAGATAGGTGCACAGACAGACACACACAGAGAGAGAGAGAGAGAGAGAGAGAGAGAGAGAGAGAGAGAGAGAGAGAGAGAGAGAGAGAGGGAGCTATGAGAAGCAGAACAATTTGGAACTCAGAAATTGTTTGGATAAATGGAAGAGTCAACGGCGATGGAAATTTTCTCGTTTTTGTTGATTGCTTTGGTGTGGGTGGGGATGAAAGGTTAAGCAAGGCCATGAAATTGAGCTGCTGCATACTTAAGGAGGATCGCTTACCCATTTTTCTCAGCTAATCTCAATCCGAAATGGTCAATTAAAGGCGATGCTTCCGGAAGCATAGCTGCAAGAAGGCAAAATCAAGAGAAAGACATGAAATGCAAAATCAAGACACAGAAAAAGCACGCAAACTGTGTTTGGAGCTCACAGAAATACACAACAAAAAACCACCACACGCACAGTGCAAGGGGAGTAAATGCAAATTTGCAAACCTTCCATTCTCCCTCGAAAAGATGGAAAAGGAAAAGAGTTACATCCAACTACGGAGTGACGTATCTAGCTCGTCCCATCTTGGGGAGGAAGACATCCATTCAAAAGCCTTTTCTCTTTTCTCTCTTTTTTTTTTTTTTTCCGTTTTTTCTCCTTTTTCCTCTTTTTTTCCCTCTTTTTTTTCTTGTTTTTCTCTCTTTCTCTCTATTTTGCTTCTTTTATTTTATTTTTTCCCTTCTTTTTTTTTCGTTTTTTTTTTTCTTCTTCCTGTTCTTAAAGTTTTTTCCTGTTTTTAAAGGTTTTTTTTCCCTTCCTTTTTTGATTCCAAAAACAGGCATTTACTTGGGAGTAAGAATGGAAAAGATACCCATCCAAGGCAGTTATTTGGGAGGTGCTGACGTAGTTCAAAGCAATCAGATACTGCGACATAGGATTTAGAATAGACTTCATAGAGATTAGGCTTAAGCAGAGTGTAAGATATACACTAACACATAGACTGGGACATAGGATTCAGAATAGACTTCATAGAGATCAGGCTTAAACAGAGTGTAAGATATACACTGACACATAGACTGGGACATAGGACTCAGAATATACTTCATAGAGATTAGGCTTGGACATATGATTCAGGACATATGATTCAGAATAGAGTTCATAGAGATGAGGCTTGGACGTATGATTCAGAATTGACTTCATAGAGATCAAGCTTAGACATAGGGTGAGCCATAGGATCCCCCCCAAAAAATAGAATGCTGAAAAGAGGCATAGGAGTCTACACAAAGCAGGCATAGACGGGGAACGAACCAAACTAACACTGTGAGAAACAAACGACACGAATTAGCATTCAGATACACAGAAAAAAAACAAAACAAACAAACAACGAAAGGAAAAAAAAAGCATTCAGATAGATTGGACATGGAGTAGACATAGCCCATAGGCTTTAGGATAGACTTCAGATACATTAGACTAAGACTTGACAAAGTCCATAGGCTCTGGAACAGGTTGAGATACTCCTTTGGCACATCTATTTCGGGGTGTTCTGCCACGTTTTCACGCGGGGCTCGTTCCCGTTAATCCGCGCGATTTCAGGCCACTCTGTTCAAAACGGAGATTGACGCTCAATTCGCGCTAGCGATTTTTCAAACTCGGGGTAAGATTTTTCGAATTGGCGATGGCGCCAGTTAATTTCTTTTCTTTTCTTTTCTTTTTTTTTTTTTTCTTTTTTTTTTTTTTTTTTGGCGCCAGTTAATTTCACAGAATTTTGAGTCACGAATTTTGCAACCCTGTCCAGTCATATTAGCACCGCGTAGCAACCAAGAGCACAATGCACGGTAGACCCACCTTCAGTTTCTGCTAAAGAGTGATCTTCGACTAGTGGTCACGATGCAGCAACCAAGCTCGCTCTCTCTCACTCTCTCTCTCTCTCTCTCTCTCTCTCTCTCTCTCTCTCTCTCTCTCTCTCTCTC